TTTCATAGTTCACTAGTCTGCCACTTCGTTTTTTCCAGTCTCTTTCTCTTAAATTTTATTTTTGAAACATTCTATGTGTTTATTTTCATATCCAGGCCTCTGCTTTGTAGTGCCAATCTGCTTTTAATTGTACTCTGTTTTTTCTTCTCATTATTTTGACACTTTGCATACTATTATATCCTGATATTATTTATAGGTATACTTCATTTGATTTTTTCACATTGTAGGTCCAATTTTCCTTCTTTGAATACCTGGTTTTTCCCTGCATAGTGATTTGGGGTTCCTCTAGTCAGTAAGCTTAAGAAAATTTAAGGCAAATTTGCCCAATTTTCCATCTTGCAGAATCACTATACTTCGTTATCTAATGTTCAGTGTCTTGAAAAACATTTTTCCTATATGCATTCTGATTTCTGTTTTGAGTCTTTGTTTTGATTTCAGTTGTTGCATGATGATGACATAGTCAGTATCTATGAATCATCTTCAAGTGAATATGCGAATCCATTGACTCAGAATATTGTACTTACACAATAAATATTTAACCTTCCAGGGTAGGGTTTGTTTAACAAGGTAATTATCCAAGCATGAGATTGTATATCTGAGGTGAGGAATTATTTTCTACTATTTAACTATACTATCATTTCAGAATGTAACTTCACAATAATGTGCATTGTCATTGAAAACTTTTGATGTGTACTTCCAGTTATGAATATCCATTTGAAGACTTTCCCTAGCTTCTACTATAACATGGTTTCCATAACAACTTTCTAAACTCTATAATTGGCCTTAGTATATACTCAGCAATATTGCTGAGTATATATGTGTGTGTGTGTGTGTGTGTGTGTGTGTGTGTGTGTGTGTGTGTGTGTGTGATTAGTAACAATGTATCACATAACTAATTTTCTTCAACATACCCGTTCAAAAAATCAGTTAGAAAAATGTCAGTTCAATGTCTAGCTGCAAATTAGGAAAGATAACATGGTATAACTGGATGAGATACAAACTGGGTTTCTGTATGATTGGTCAGCATTTGTGATTATCTAGTGAGTTTTCCCAGAGATTTGACTGGGTTATCAGAGAAAATTCTAGTCAGGGTATTCTTAGCTAAATTGTGTCCAACCAGGGTGCATTTGCAGTCAAATTAATTAAAATTATCTTTGATATTGAAGGAAATGAACTGGGGAAATTTCATAGGTCCCTGATTCATGACTTTATCTAATGTGATGTCATTCTTCCATATGAAGATTACATAGAAATTTCAGCAGCTTTGTAGATGTTTATTTAGGGAATAGATGAAAGAAACAAATAGGAAGATGATTTGTTCTTTTTCCTTTCTATTCAATGTTTTCACAGTAAGGTACATGTTAAAAAGGCTCTCCAAAGTACACTAAAACCTTTTTATCTTTTATCTTTTTATCTTTTATCAATTATGTTTTTAGAAATTTAACATATATAAACTAGATATTTTACCTAATCAAAAATAGCTTTGCTTTCTTAATCTTCAGTCTCATACTTGAAATATATGTATTTAGGCTTTTTGGTGGACTATAGTGGTATACAATTGTAAATGCCACTTGAAATACAAACTATTTTATATACATATATATATATATATATATATATATAACATATATGGATATCTGTCCATAATATTAAATTTGCTAGAAATTTTCCATTTTCAGTCTTTATTTATAAGGGTTGAATGCAAAACTTCAGTCTATCATAGAAAATTTTCTTATAAAACACTGTAAAATTGAATACAAATAGAAGAATAAATTATACTTTTACTTTAATGTAGTCTTATAAGAATGGGAACAGAATGTCTAAAAGATTAACCAGGAGACTTTGATAAGAAATGAATGAAATATTCTGGAATCTAAATTTCTTAGCAAATCAGATGTACTCTGAATGTTGTCCTATTTAAATACCAAGAGCCTCTGTATAGCAAAGCAACAACCTTGAAAATTACAGAAGCCATATTTCAATCTCTTGATGAAGTTGGCATTTTTTGAGAGTTGAAGGAGGAAATCAAAATATCAATTTTAATATTATACACTGACATGTAGGTGTTGTAAACAATACAAGGATTCCCTTAAACTCTCTACCTTCATTATTTATGGAGAAAACCTTAAAAAGGGGAAATCAAATTAAATAATTTGTGAATAGTATGATTAAAAATACAAAGATATTTAATTTCTTCAGCAACAAAGAACTGAATGTTAATATTTCCTAGAGATATAGGAGTTTTGCTTTGAGAAAACATCTTATTTTTTTATTATTTTTTTATTGTGAAAATGCTCTACAGAGGGGTTACAATTACATGGGCAAGATAATGAGTACATTTCTTATCAAGCATTGTAGCCTCCTCCTTTGTTTCCCCTTCCTATCCTCCCCCCGCACCCCCCACCCAATCCTCCCCGCCCCCCACCCCCGTACCAAAGTTGTAAAGTTCGTTCCCGACATAAAGACTTGTACATCTCATTGTTGAAATTTTAAAAGTAATAAAGCAGGTTCCGTATACATTTAGAATATAGATTCTTATTAAGTAGCTTTTATAAAATTTTCAGTCCTCTTTCCTACTTCAATCACAAGAATTATTCTTTGCCTTCTTATAATGACTCCTTTAACTTCTCCCTTGAGGAGAAAAATTATTTCTTGGAAAGCACAAACCCAGCAGCAGCTTTTGCAAGAGTACTGAGTTTAGATATTACAATATAATTTCCGTTTTCCAGAATTTGAGGGGCCAGAAACCTTTGAGATTTATTTTTCCTTCTTTTCTGGGTGGTGTTGTAGGAAAGGATTGGCATATTTACATAGATTTCAAAGGGCAAGCATCTCCAATCCAAAAATAATCATATTCTGCAATACTCAAAAATACTAAACTTATTGAGTATTTTTTTCGCTTGTGAGATATGAAGCAGAAGCTAATAGAGGTTAAGTAATACTAGGCACATAACACAGTAGTCATCAATCTCTGTAATCACGAACACTAGTTGGGATCACTGTGTTATATCGGTCTATGCTCTTATTTCATGGTTTATTTTAGAATCTTACTTCATTAATATTTGTCTTTCCATTCTTCTCTGTCATTTCTTGTTTTTTTTTTTTTAGTGTTTTCATCTTTAATGCCTCCAACTGCTATGACTGCATGTTGAAATATTTCTATATTTTGCCTCTAAGTTAAAGTTTCACATTCTCAAATTTGAATGATTCTATCATTTGTGCCTTCCCATTTGAATTCCTTCCCCTATGCCCAAAAGCTCAAAGCACTGGTTCCCTTCTCTACCACTTTTCTTCTTATTAACTACACCATACTCACCATGCAAATGAACTTATGCCCCAACAACTTAACAATTACATCTTCAGTCTCAAATTCTTATTGTCAGCTTATATCCTAAAATGATTGCAACATTAAATTGTATGTTTTTTTTTACTACAGTATCTTTCTTTAAAATGTCTCCTTCCACTCCTGACTTTGTTTCTATTTCATTTTGTTTATTTTAATTTTTCCTGTGTCTGTCTTCCTCACAGGTTTATATTGCAAGAATGACAATCTTTACTCATTTGGGACCAGGAAGAGTCCCAAATGTTTAGCTCTAGGTTTGATTTCAGCCTCAATGACAATCATCTTTTGAGAGCTACATGGACTTCTAAAACATATCCAAGGGCAAGCAGATAATCTTCTACATTTTTCTCTGCTTTGTTGTCTATAACTGATATAGAAATTGCCATTCAATTATCCAGGCCTAAGAAATCAAGGCTCTCTTAAATTAGTGAAATCATTTAAGGTGTTTAGAAGATACATTATAAAGCCTGAATTGTTATTGATTAATGGAAATATTACCTTTAAGGTCTGATTGGTACTCACAACCTGTATCCAGCTGAATCTTGGCCCTTCCCCTTCTATATCTTTCATGGTGCTGGAGCTTCTCCTCATTGTTTTTGCTGTGGCTGCTTTATTTTGCCCATACTATCTATTTTAGAACACCTGAACTCCTGTCTCTATCTTCTGTTTCCAACCATGACCATTAAATTTCCCTACTTCTTATACAGTTACCTTGCTAACATATGTCAAATCAAGGGCTTTGTGTGATAAGTACAGGTAATCATACTTGGTAAGGTCTTTCCCAACTTGGATATAAGATTCCATTTTATTTTACAATAACTATGTAACTATTAAGTGTAGTTCTAACATATGATGAGGGAGGAAATGCGGTCTCACCAACTCTTCACATTATCAGAAAAATTTGTGCATTTTGCACAGAATGCCCCAAAACCTTTATAGAATGACTATAATTCAACAATTTTTAATTTTTTTCTCTTCAGCCAACTCACTGTTGGGTAGCAATGGCAGTAGACATTGCATTTCTTAATCTATATCAGTCTTCACATTTCTTAAAATTCAAATAACACAAATGTGAATCCCTAGGAAGTCACCAAACCATTAAATATCTCATTTTTCTTGACTAATAAATATTGAAAATGCTCTCTCTATAAGTTTGTCATGTAATTCAGTAACTATATTTACTTGTTTGTGTATGTTTGTGCACATGTTTGTATTATGATTATTTTTCAAATGGTGTTACCTCATAAATGTAATATTGCTGTTGTAATAATTAGTTTTGACTCCTTATTTTCTTGGCTATATTTGTGTGATTGACATCTGTATATGACTATAAATATTTTCTAAGTTTTCTCACATAGAATAGTATCATAATAGCTAATTGGCTATGTGCATATGAACATATAAAATGATTCCTATCCAAATGAACTCCAAAAAACAACCCAAACAAACAAAACGAGTATATCAATGACTTCCTTAAATGATAAGATATATAGAGAGATATAGATAGATAAATAAATTTTCCCCTACAAGGTTTATTAAGAATCAATGGAAATTGTAGCTACCAAATGTAATATTGATGTTCCTACTATAAGAGGAAATATCTTGTTATTTAATTTATTACACTTTCCTATTACAATTAGTAAAAGCTAATTATCACAAAATTCTAAAGCAATAACAAAGACATACTAAGATGAAACACTGAGCAGATGTAAATAGGTATTGCACCGTTGTGTTCCTCTCCTAAGAGTATCCTCCTTTGGTCTCACAGTATGTGAATGCCTAGATACTTATATAATTTATCATGGCCCAGTGTATTTTTTAAGCATGCAATGTGTTTACTTTTAGACTTAAAGACACATTCTAGCTACAAAAAATGAGGGAAAATATGCAACCTATATTACTCTGGATTTGTCCATTTTCCCAAGCCTGTCCATTTACTTATGAATGGTACAATATCATTCTTTTTGACAGATGAGTAGAATTCCATTGTGTGTAAATTGCACATTTTCTTGATCTATTTATCCACTGAGTTATGGGCTGATTCTATATCTTGGCTATGGTAAATAATGCTGCAGTGAGCCTGATTGTGCTGATAGCTTTAGTATGGCCTTGTTTGTGTTACAGTAGTAGAATTTCTGGATCATAGGGAAGCTCTATGTTTAATCTTTTGAGGAACCTCTATACTGCTTTCCAGAGTGGTTGAACAAGTTTATATTCCCACCAACATCCCTTTCGGATGTAAAGGGTTGCACTGTTTGAAAATTGTCTTCCTTATATGGTTTATATAACTGTAACCCCTCTGATATGACTTTAAAACAATAAAATGCATAAAAAATAATGAGATGAAATATTGAGAAGTTTGCTCTTATTTTCCATCTTGGCATTTAAGCATACAAACTGCTGGTTATTTTTTTCCTCAAGTATTGTTATATGTGATCAAGGAAAGTCTGATGTTTCCGTTGGCTTATGTCAACACTAAGTTTTTCTTAAAGCACTTAATAGTTTTCTGTAGTTTCATCTATGTGTCTATTATAATGAAATATCTTGGCATGAAATTATTTTTGGATAATTAATAAAGCTCCACTTTTGTAGTAGGCCTACATTAAAAGTTAGAAACACCTTTCATTATTCCCTGTTTCAGATCCCAAGGTACAGGAAGCTCTAAAATAGATGATGTGGTGCTTTTTTGAAGGAAGGAAAGAAACCATGGAACAGTTGTCTTTTTCTCATTTAGTAATGAATCAAGCTGACCTTCTATCCTTCGTGTACCAAACTCAGGATAGAGTTCCTGAGCTGAACACAGACCATATGAAGTAGAATGAGAAGGGAAGTTTTGATAAGTGTAAACTGTCTTTGGATTCAAATGTTCTGAAGTGTGATACCTTATCAGCAATCATTTATTTTTGTGATTCCTACATGTTATTATTTACCCATAATCAGGTAGAAGATTCTGCAAAAGAGATATCATTATTTTTTATGGGGAAAAGATAACATAGCCTGCGTACATGTGTATCTGCCAAAACCTTTTTGTCGCCATTCACATTTTCTCTAAAATGTCAGGTGACATTCTAATTTGCTGATTTGTCATTTCCTTCCACTTGTAAAATAAACATATACTGAACAGCCGTTCATTTCCAAGGGATTTTTAAGTTCTATGAGTTCCTATGGCAAATGAGACTGCTTTTACAGAGCTGCATTTTTTCCAAGCCCAGTTCTTCAACAGCCTGTATGAGAAGCAGGTTAGTAATTTGCTAACAATATAGATATCTAGAGTCACTTCAACTGTTGATTTCTGTGAAGGGGCTCTCAAGTCTGTAGTTTAAACTGTAATTCTAGCTGTTGTTTTTTTTTCTTTTTAAAGTATTGGCACACTGATGTACTGCTGTTGTTCCTTCTTTTCAGTCCTTTATGTACTTGATTTCTTTATTTAATTGTAAAAGTGTTGTATAGAAAGGTTACAGTTACATAATGAGTACACTTCTTCTTGAACAATGTTACTTTCTTCCTCATTTTCTCCTGCTTCTCCCCCTACACACACACACTCACACACACACACACACACACACACACACACACACACACACACACACACACACACACACCCTTCACACTCAAGATATGAAGTTCATTTCCAACATAGTAACTAGTGAGTATCACTGTTGCAATGTTTCACCCTTTGTCCTACCATTTCTGTTATTTGCCTTCCTTTCTCAGTCAGATAAAATTATATACAAGATAAAGAGTACAGAAATCAAAACCAGTGACAACAGGGCAGAAAACAAAGGTAAAAAGAAAGAAAGAAAGAAAGAACAGCAAATAGTAGATTTTTGTTTTAAACTGCAACTCACAAACGCTTCTTTAGATACACATAAAAATAAAGCAGCATTTCTAGCCATATGAAGCAGCATGTATAACTGTACAAGAAATGAGATAGCAAACAATATTTGCTTTTCAGATAAAAAGTTTACACACTAATTGAAATTCCCATGATTTAACAAACAGCAAAGGGAAGATATCTACCTCTTAATACCTTAATGGATGGACATTACAACTTATTTTATTGTCAGATCATTCTCATGTACTGTATATACTGAAAGTTTTGGAATAATCTAGAAGTTGGAGCTATGAAATCTGGTGAAAAAAGAAACAGATAAGACCACCTAAAACATGGATTCTACCTTTAATCATTATTCTATTCTTTGAAACACTTCTCAGGTGAATCTATTTAAACTATTATGTTTTTCTTGGGTGTATGTGGGTTTTGTTTGTTAAAGTTTCCTTTGGCACTGAAAATTGAAGAGGTGGGAATGCATGGTTTGAGCTGGCTCAGTTCATGTCTATTTATTTACCACTTAGCAGCCTGGTGGGTGCCATATGGGCAATGAATACAAATATTCAATCTACCAGAGGCAGACTTCAAGGCAAATATCTGAAGTCACGTAAACATAGTCTATCTCTCCTATTCTATTCATTCATCTTACTCTGAAAATATGTATTACATTTCTTCCATGAGAGAATTAAATGGTGTTCAAATGTTTACCTAAAACAAATATTGATCATTTTGCTGTGTGACAGAGAATCTTGTTCAGTATTATGTGTGCTAACGCATTTAAATGTAACACTGTAAAAGAACTCTGATTATTACTCTTGTCTTGCAAATGAAGCTGAAGTCTAGAGAGATAGAGTAACTTGCTCAAAGTCCCCTGTTAGAGTGAATTTTATTTAGTATCTAAACTCATACCTTTTTCAACAGAACCCTTCCTTTCACCTTATATGCTATACACTGGATAAGTCACAGGGCATTACATCATCAGTATTCTTATTGAGACATATAAGTGAAAAGCTAAGATGTACTAGATACTGTTAAGTCAAACAGGAAATACGGGGAGGAGCAGAGGACTCAGAGAGGACTGATGTCTCATTATGCTATTATATTTCTTTATTGGTAGGTCCAATTTGTATTAAATGTGAAAGAAAATGCCACATTTAGACAACAATGAGTTTTCTGTTCTTGTTGGGGTATAAGTTTTGTGATTGGTTATAAGGGAGAAATGGTGAACAGAAACTAAGGTCCAGATATTAAGAGAATTCTATTCCATGCCAAGAATATTGGACTTCTCTTAAAATGATAGAAGTGTATTGAATAACTGACCAGATACATTATTATAATTCACTTCAAAGAAATTGATTTTTGAAGAACAGTCATTTATAGTATCCACTTTGAGAAAATAATGAGTCCAAATAGCTTGTTACTACATATTTTAATCTTTTCAATAGGAAACATGTGTTTCTGAGAAAGTTTGCAGCCATTTGACTCTGAGGAAAGGGTGAGCATAATAGGATTTTCTGTGCTACAGGGAAGATATTCCCAGGTATTTTTTCTGACCTGGAAAACTATATGTATCATTGTCCTACTCTATTCTCAGGAGTCACTGGTGATGTTCTTGTGAGCTGTACCCAAAAAAGATTATGCTAATTTTTAAGATGACATTTGTTCAAAATAGCTGGGTTGTTTAGTACTTTGAGGGCATATACTTTGAGGGCATAGTATCAAAAACAACAACTAATAATTGTATATGCTGCTATCATAAATGTACATATGTAAGCACAAGTCTTTATAGGGTAATTCTGGAACCAATGCCTTAACTACAATACCAATTCCAAGCACTCAACATTATGGTACCCTTACCTAAGAAAGCTATCAGGTTACTATCCAAAGACCATATAAATATAAACATAGATGATTTTAGAATTATTCTGTCTAGTACTACTTCAGTCACAGACACACACACACACATATTCTCTCTCTTTCTCTCTCTCTCTCTCTCTCTCTCTCTCTCTCTCTCTCTCTCTCTCACACACACACACACACACACACACACACACACACACACACACACACACACCACTGGTTTCTGGGAAACTGTTTTTATCTAATTCCCATTTGACATAAAAAGAGATTAAATCGTAATTAAAAATTTTTAATTGGATAAACTTAGTCACAATTTTAGGTATACACAAATGGAAAAAGAGCAGGATTTTTACTAAAGGATGACAATGTCTAAAGTATGCATAATTTACTTTTGGCATTCTGAAATTACCTGCCAATTGGAATAAAATTATGTGTTGATTCAACTTTTCTTTTCAACTGACATTTGAAGAATGCCAGTTTTCAAATTGATATGATTTCTAGTATCCCGCGCCTGTATTTTATGAAACAGGTAATCATGGCTTCTTATTTTGTGGTTGGCCTGGCACTAGCCTGTGAGACGGGGTTGTCATTCTTCCTAACCATGAGATATTGTTGCTGTGATTAGATAGTGACTTTTTATGATCCACATAAAGGTAAGAACTTAAGCAACTCTGCCATCATGCATTGGCCACCTAGAGGCTATATACATTTTTCATAGTAATGGCAATTTTTGGTGTTTCTTTAATGTTCCTCTGTCTCCATCACAATGGAGCTCATGCACTCTGTTTCTTCTGCACAATATATCTTCCTAGGTCACACCTTTCCTGCCTCAAGAATTTTAATGAGAGTTATAAATCTACAGAGTCCAGATACCTGGAAATCTCCTCCTGACCTTATCCTTCATCATTTTTCGCATGAGAACTTGGTATGACTTTGAGTAATGGTATGTTTTAAGAAAACAGATTATAGAACTAGGCTGGGCCCTTTGTTCCACAGCAGGACTCCCATGACCCCACCAGCCTTCTGCCAGAAGTTATGCTGTTGATTGTTGGTTTAACAGACATATAGAGGTTCTTATGATGTTCCCATCTTTTTTACTCAAGCTACGCTCTGCTTTTCTTGATGTTGCATTATTTTTTGTTCAATCAAGAACATTTTTCTTTTGTTTGTTGAGTGCAAAGAGTATATGAAATCTAGAATAGAGGGGTGTACATTTAGATGTTGTTACCAACCTGATGAGTAATTCTCCATTCTTGAGTCTCTAAAGTGGTTGGAGCAAAACTAACTTTTAAGATTTTTTTTGGTAAATGTATGCAGCATTAGTAAAATGCTAATATTGGGCTGGCCATAAGTTCTAGCATATATGTAATAATAATGCCATTGTCTACAATTTGCTGAGCAAATCGTACTCTGGTTTTTAATTCATGGAGTATAAGAACTAAAATACTTACTTTTAGTTCATTTTAATTTTCATCTAATTGTTCAAGAAGTGACAGTGTAGAATTTCAATTTATGTATTCACTGTATATGGATCAAATCATGATACTTTGTATTTAAATAAGATACCTATCATGTCTTCCTGGCAAACATTCAAAAGCCTCCCATCTGGCTACTTTGAAATATACAATACAGCATTATTGTTTATAATCATTTCACACTTACTTATTATTTCTCTATAACTATAACTTTGTAGTCATTGATCCCTATCTTTCCATTCCAATCTCTTGCCTTCCCCTGATTTTACTCCTATCTTTTTGTCCCACTGTTTTTGTTGTATCAATTAGATTTACAAGGGAGTTTCATTTTGACATTTCCATATATGAATAATGAATCTTTCTTTTCAAATCAGCCTTTGTCACTCTTCCTCATCTTCTCTATTCCTTCCCAAACGAATCTCAGAAAGCTCCATTGCTCCGTTTTAACAAATGTTTGTATATGTATTTCTGTGACACATACTCATTTACATAAGATACAGTAATTTTGCATGATATATATCTTTCTGAAATTGGCTTATTACAAATGATGCAATATCATCCAGATTTAACCCTGATTTACAAATAAAGAGGATATCATCATCTTTATGTCAACCTAGCACTCCATATTTTATAGATATGCCACATTTTAAATTTTTACTTTCTGATGACCATTTAGGTTGATTCCCTATCTTGGCTATCATGAATAGTTTTTAATGAACATAGGAGTACAGGAATATATTCAATTAATTTCAGCTTTTCAAATATATGTCAAATAGTGAGAATTTTGGTTGTCTAATTTTAGTTGCCTTAGTGTCTTTGAGGGATATCCTTAATGTTTTCCATAGTGAATAGACTCATTTACCTTCTTTTTTCTCCCTATCCTTAGTAGCATTTTGCCTTTTGATAATAGCCACTCTTACTAGAGTGACATGAGTGTGGCCTTTACTTTTTTGTTTGATCAACACATTTTTGTATGTGTATTGTTCACTTCTAAGAAGGTTTTCTTTTGAAAAAATTCATCGAGGACTTTGTCCATTTATTTTACTTCTGAAAATACTGTACAGAAGGGTTACAATTACATGGGCAAGGTAATGAGTGCATTTCTTATCAAGCATTGTTGCCTTCTCCTTTGCTTCCCCTTACCATCACTTCCCATCCTTCCCCCCCCCCCCATTTTCGATATAATACCTTTTACATATCATTGGTGCAATGGGTCCACCTGTATCCCTATTTAAACAATTTGTTTTGTTTTTTCCCTTCCCCTCCACAAATTATACCAACATCAAATACAGCGAAAACAGGGGTTATACCATGGGGATTGGATATACAAAGCAACAAAGAAATATCTTACAAATATGTTAGACATTATAGCAAGAAAGAAAAAAAAACATTTGAGTCATTAACTTAGGGTACATTTCGCTTAACATCAACTTATCTGACCGTTTCTGCTTTTCTCAGACATATACTAGTTATTGCAAATAAGGGAAACCATGGGACCTATGTTTCTTTGGGCCTGGCTTACTTCACTTAATATAATTTTTTCCAAGTCTTTCCTAACAAATGGGGTAATGTCATTCTTTCTGATGGAGGCATAGAATTCCATTGTGTATATGTGCCACATTTTCTTTTTTTTTTTGGAGGGGAGGGTCGGTAGTGGGGCCTGAACTCTGGGCCTGGGCTCTGTCCCTCAGCTTTTCAGCTCAAGGATAGCGCTCTACCACTTGAGCCACAGCGCCACTTCTGGCTTTTTTCTTTTTTCTTATGT